AGCAAATAAGAAATATAATACTGAAAAATGACACAAACAGTACACAGGTAGAAGTAAATCTGACAGCAGAAACTACATCAAAGGGCTGCCCAGCCTAATAATGCATCCACAAACACAAGCAAGCATAAGTGACTTGATCACCATACCCTGCTTCCCTTTATGAGACATGGAAATGCAACTACAGGAACAACCCCTTCCCTCCCCCTTTGGGAAAACACCGGCAGCCCAGTTGTGATGAATAGCATAGACATAATGGACAAAAATGCAGATGGAATTACAAATAAAGGGGTTGAGTTACAGGAAACACTGGCAGAATAACAACTACACTCGATAACGGAAATGAAACTGACAAATGTTTAAGGAAGGGAAGTTGTAGTAACTCTCTTGCTACAGCTACACAGGAGCTTTGAAGAAGTAAATTTATCATAGGAATCTGACCAGCAAAAAGTACATACTAGGAATAACAGCAACGGAAGACATGAAGATAGCAGAAGCAGTTATTTACAATCTCCACCAAGGCCTAGGACTAGGTGTAGGAAAGAATACAAGAAATGTCATGTTAACTGCCTAAAAGGTATTGAAACAGCATCCTCAGTGGAAAGGGGAACAAGAGATAAAATTCTAGAACTTGGGGGATATTAATCACAGGGGAAATAGACTGGATTAATATATAGACCCCTGCGCGGGTATTGGGAAATGGATATAAAAACTTAAAGACATGGTGAATAAACACGTCTTAAAACAGAATAATACAGAACCAACAAGAGCACGAGGAGAGGACCCGCCAGCAACACTAGACTCGGTATTGTCCCAAAATGAGGCAAATGTTGAAAAAATAGAGTATGAGATGCCTTCAGGAGCTAGCGACAAATGCATTACCGTGCTTGAGTACATAGTGGAGATGTTGGAACTGGTTACATTGAGAAATCTGTTGAAGAAGATGGGAAATTACAGTATTGATTGCAGTAAGATAAGGGACTTGGTTTGACTTCCAATGGGAAGGAGAAATGTATGGGAAGAAAGCAAATGAGATGAATTCACTGCTGGGAAATGTATCGATGCAACAGAGCAGTCCATACCAGTCAAGAAGAAAGTGGACGAGAAAAGTAAAGTAAACTCCCTTGTTCAATTGGCCTTACATGGAAGAGAAAGAAAGGAAGGGAACTATTATGGGGAAAGCGCCATGCCATTACGACTATATAACAGCAACAAAAACTGAAAGTACAACTAGGAACATAGGACAAGAAAGAGGCACTAAAGAGAACCAGAAAATAATAAACCCGAGTTAGAAGATAAGATGAGAGACAATTTGAAATGACATTGCTGCAAAAGCTAAGGACCAACCAAAAGACCAACTATAACAACATAAGGAGAATAACAGCAGTGAGTGACCTTGTACTCAGATTGAGGAGACAAGCGGGAATTCTCACGGAAAATGATAATGAGGAATCCATAAAAAGATTTCAGGAGGTCTTTACAATAGAACCAACATGGAGACCAAGGTTGTCGGATGAAAGGCCGGAATAAACAATGGATTATATTGTTATCATTGAAGAAAAGGTGAATGTGGAGATGTGACACAATCAGAAAGACTTAATCTCACCATGGCAGGCCAAGGAGGCTGCAGAAGTACTGTCACCCTTTAACTCAAATGTGTAAAAAAAAAATTGAGACAGGAAATCTCCCACAAGTCTGGAAAAAGGCAAACATAGTCTTGACATTAAGAAAGGGGGATAGACAGGAGGCACTACGTTACAATCTGCCATCATTGACAAATATTGTGTGTACAGTGCTGAGGAAAGTAATCAGGTTGAGAATGATGGAGCAACCTGGAGAAGACCAACAAGGGGACCAACGGTCAACATGGATTTACAAGAAGAAAGATTTACAAGCCTCACAGACTTGAGTTCAATGGCAAGGTTACTAAAAAAAAAAAGATGAAAAAGAAGGCTGGGTAGACTGTATTTTCCTAGACTGTTACAAATCATTTGACAATGTTGCTCACAAAAGACTGGCAAAGACGATGGAGGAGCAGGGCGAGATAACTGGAAAACACTTAACTAAGTAAGTAGCTGAAGGACAAAGGAAACTTACCATCAGACAGTAGGTTTTAAACTTAAGGAATGTAACACATTGGGTCCCACAAGGTCCTGGCGCCTTGTGAACCATAAAAACCAAAATTTAAGAAGGTACTGAGGTTAGCATCAAGACTGGTGCCAGAGCTAAGAGTGTTAAGCTATGAGGATAAACTAATGGAACTAAATTCCACCACCCTCAAGGATAGCAAAAACTGAGAGCATATGATTACAACATACAAGATTCTGAGGGGACTAGACAAAGTGGACAAGAATAGCCTCTTCGAATTAAGAGAAACTAGGACAAGAAGACACAAGTGGAAGCTGGAAATGCAAAAGGCCCATAGAAAGGTAAGGAAATACTCGTACCTTGTACGGATAGTCAACAAGTGGAACGCACTAAAAGAAGAAGTTGTGGAAGCCACCTCCAAAAACAACTTTTAAGCCATATTCTACAGACAATTTGAACATCAGCATAGTTACATTGTAAAGCACAAGACACCAAAGCTAACAGGCAGAGCTTCACAGAGTTGGGCCTCACGCCCCCTACACACACTCATAGTTAAAGCAAATTTTAAAACGAATTACTTTTGGTTCTTGATTTTGTTCTAGTTTTTTTTATCTACGTCCTGGTTCACGATCTCCTTTTGGTTACTGATCTACGTCCTGGTTCACGATCTCCTTTTGGTTACTGATCTACGTCCTGGTTCACGATCTCCTTTTGGTTACTGATCTACGTCCTGGTTCACGATCTCCTTTTGGTTACTGATCTACTTCCTGGTTCACGATCAGCTTCCTGCGTCATGATCAACTACTTGGTTCATGATCAATTTCCTGACTTATGATCTACTTTTGCTTCCTGGTTTACTTCCCGACACACACAACCATTCGGCGTCTTTGTCTATCCACCAAAGACCATCGTCTGTCCTCTAACGACTATCACCTGCCCACTAAGGCCCATAGTCTGTCCTCTTTAAGACCACCGCCTACCCTCAGGAGACCATCTTCAGAACCGGTCACACGCCAGCACTAAACCACAGCAGAGAACGGAAGTGCTCTCGAAGCCACAACCCGAACATATTGCTTTGGCCTCTGTGCCTTGGTCAGGGTCAAATAAGCTGTACATAAGCTGTACAAGCTGGAGTACAGCGACGTGGTCAGTGTACGCATTCTCAGTGGTGCACACGAGGTGGGGTACACACGTCACTACTGTTGTTTTTGTTGTTCTTTAAGATTCAGCTACTTGGAACAAAGATGCAAGTAGCACGGGCTATGGTGAGCCCGTAGTGGACTTGTGAGTGTGTGTGTGGGGGGGGGGGGAGTGAGGTGTGGGCGTGTGTGTTTGTGTGTATTCACCTAGTTGTGCTTGCGGGGGTTGAGCTTTGCTCTTTCGGCCTGCCTCTCAACTGTCAATCAACTGTTTCTACTACTACTATTTTTTCCCCACACCACACAAACACAGACACCACAGGAAGCAGCCCGTGACAGCTGACTAACTCCCAGGTACCTATTTACTGCTAGGTAACAGGGGCATTTAGGGTGAAAGAAACTTTGCCCATTTGTTTCTGCCTCGTGCGGGAATCGAACCCGCGCCACAGAATTACGATGCTCCAGTGGTCACTAAGCCGCCACTCAGGTTCCAGACGTTACTAACCCACTTTCTCTATGCTCCAAGAGTTCCCAACCCACCACCTCACGCTCCAGGGGCCACTAACACCCACCTCCACGCACTAAGGGTCACCAAGCCACCATCTCACGCTCCAGGGGCCACTAACACCCACCTCCACGCTCTAAGGGTCACCAAACCACCACCTCCACGCGGAGAAAACTGGTGAAGATGTTACAATACTTTTTCAGTGCGATCGTTAACCCTTTGAGTTGCAGCCTTAAGCCTCCGCGGTGCGGGGCAAGGTGGAGGAGCAGAGGTCTGGCCCCACACTTCTTACACGGAACACCCTCCAGGAACATTAACATGTATAGAACCCTCTCTGTAGGACCACTGCTACCTAGGGAACACCCCTCCTGGCCCACCACCACCCAGGGAACAGTGGTCTCAAGAGGTGGTGGGCGTGAAAGTTGGGACCCACCCCCACCCAGCTGGCATAAGGAGACCCGCTGTCTTCCTGCCCGCCGCTGGCGGTCTGCCCGGGTCCTCGCCTCCTCACCAACCACTGAACTAATCATGCACAAATACTTCATGTTTATGATCACACTGTCTGGAATAGCAGGCTGTGTTAGTCTTATCCAGGTCACAATAGCCACGACTGACCTGCTCACAACAGGTATTTAACTCGTATGTACCTGGTTACTGCTAGGCGTTGAGGGTATGGAAACGTGCCCAAACGTCTCCACCCGTCAGGGTGAAAAAGGGGCGCCTGACAGCTGGGTGGACAGCGCTTCGGATTCGTAGTCCTGAGGTTCCGGGTTTGATCCCCGGTGGAGGCGGAGACAAATGGTCAACAAGTTTCTTTCACCCTGGTGCCCCTGTTACCAAGCAGTAAGTAGGCACCTGGGAGTTAAACAGTTGCTACGGGCTGCTTCCTGGGGTGTGTGTAACAAAAAGGAGGCCTGGTCGAGGACCGGGCCGCGGGGACGCTAAGCCCTGAAATCATCTCAGGATAACCGTCACGGAATCGAACCCGGGACCATTCGGTTGTGAACGAGTGCGCTAAACCTGTACTTCCAACTGGGTGTTGGAAGATGAGAGTCAGGTGTTAGTGGACCAGGCGGGGAGATGTTGCCCCGGCAACACAACACTTCTCATTTACATGAAAACGTAATTAAGTAAATATTCTCGTTCTGGGCTCAACATATAAATGTCCAGCCCAAGAGACCCAATATGTAGCGCCCTCGAGTACTATGGCCAACGGCAGTACCCTCACCACCACACCTTTTGGAAACAGAAACATAATACTCAATACAAACACGTGAAAATTGATTAGTACGTTGTTGTTGAATGTGGCGGGGGTAATGGCTGCAACAGGTCCAGACGGGCGGCGCAGCAGCAGCAGCAGCAGGGGCGGAACAGCCCAGGTGAACCCAGGTCACTATGACACAGACACAGATACGCACACGCACACACACACAGAGAGGAGAGGCCGCCCGGGACACACACACCCGCCCTTCCTGCTAGCCAGATGCACACTGTTTCCCTCCCTGCTGCATCCTGCCGGCGGGCCCCACCACCACCACCAACGCCGCCGCCTCCACCACCACCACCACCAACGCCGCCGCCTCCACCACCACCACCACCAACGCCGCCGCCTCCACCACCACCGTCACCACCACCGCCATCACCAGCACCAAACATGCCACAAGGAGCTAATGACCACTGCATTATAATGCTAAAATACTTAAAAGGCGCTGAAGGAGTTGGTTAGAGCAAGAAATACTGTGAGGAAGAAAGATTACAGCCGTGGGGACTACAGTAAGGTAGAGGTCTGAGACAAGTCCAGCGGGGGGGGGGGGGCTGGAAGGGAAACAACAGATGAGATGCTGGAATACATTGCTCAGAAATGTGCAGATGCAACAGCGCCGTTCACCAACAGGAAGGTGAACGTGAACAGCAAAGAGTGTTTTTTTTTCCAACCAAGGGCGCCTGTTGCACCCTTGGTTCAACAGGCAGTGCAAGGAAGCAAAGAGGACCAGCAAAGCATGAAAAAATAGGACAGAACTAGGAACGGAGGACAACAGAGAGGCAGTAAAGACAGCCAGAAATGAATACACCAGAGTCAGGAGGGAAGCCGAGAGGCAATTTTAAAACGACATTGCTGTGAAAGCTAAGGATCAACCAAAGCTGTTCTATACCCATACGAGGAGGGAAACAACCAGTAAGCGACCATGTGATCAGGTTGAACTACTACTACTACTACCACCACCATCGCCACCACCACCACCGTCGCCGCTACCACCACCACCACCACCACCACCACCACCACCACCGTCGCCGCCACCACCACCACCATCGCCACCACCACCACCATCGCCACCACCATCGCCACCACCACCACCGCCACCACCACCATCCTACACAAATTAACCATCTCCGGCCGGAAACGTTCCGCCTGCCTCCGTCCCTCCCGGCCCTATAATCACCGGCGCTGCTCTACAAGTACTCCAACACTGACTTAACTTACACATCTTTAATTATTATCAAGTGGTGTGATATGTCTGTCCTATACCATACACAGCCGCCGGTGTATGCCCACCACCACACTGCTGGCATACAACAGTCACTGGTGTATATGCCACGAACACTGGAACACCATACTGTATTGATGTATAGTTTAGAGATAAATTGTTATTTATTATTGTACCAATTACTTTTGAGCTGTGTAGTGTGTGCGTATTATGTATGATACTGTGTATGTACTCACCTAGTTGTGTTTGCGAGGATGAGCTCTGGCTCTTTGGTCCCGCCTCTCAACCGTCAATCAACAGGTGTACAGATTCCTGAGCCTATTGGGCTCTATAGAACACAAAGCTCTATGTCTTGTGTTGTATGAGTATGTGTTGCGAGGACCGCCAGGCCACTATTGGTGCCTGCTTGTGTTGACCTTTCAGCGGTGAGCGCTACATTTACCACCAAGTGTTTCAAGTATTATATGAGCGTAGGCCTAAGGCACAAGTTAACATGCCAGCACCGAGCAGGATAACATAGGAAACTACAATAGGTCTATTGTTCAAGCGAGACGCCTCTTATTTACATTCAACAAGAACCTCTCATATATTTGTCTTAACCTATGATTGAACCCATCCATTAACCGCACGTCTACTGCCTCCCAATCTCTTCCATAAATCTACAATCAAATCGCTAAACAAGTGTTTACCAAGTTCTTTTCCGAGTCATATTTTACTCAAGTTGCCCCCCAATGTTTCGTGGTCTATTGTGTGTTGATATGTTTCCAGGGTATAACTGTGTTGTTGTCCTTCTGTGCCCAACCTGAACTGTACAGCATAAATTGTGCCCAGCGAAGGCAAAGGAGGAGGGAGGGAACTAACAGGGGAAAGCGCCAAGCCATTACGACTATATAGCACTGGGAAAGGGTCAGGATAAGGGTTTGGGATGGGACGGGGGAAAATAATGATGCCCAATATCTTGGACCGTCGGGGATTGAACGCCGACTTGCATGAAGCGAGACCTCCTATGTCCGCTGCTATCAAATCTTCTATATCCGGAAAAGGAACTTTCCTCAAACCGCAAACCTTCCGGATAGCAGGATTCACCGCCTTGCTGGTCCAATCCACATCAAATCTACATGTATTTGCGGCGTGGGAGAGACTGATAGGTAAGGCTAGCATGGGGGACTCTGGCTAGCATGGGCGACTGGCACTCGAGGCACAGTTAAGATAACGACATCATCACCAAGAGGAGCCTCGCCACAGCTGGGTGGCCAGCAGAGACTCGTTTAATATTGTTCTGCAATGACGCTAATGTTGGTGGTCGCCCAGACGGGATTACAGTGAACCCTTGAAGGAATTGTGGGCAGTTGGTGCGGTACAACACACACCCACATAGACTTGAACCAACACAAACTTCAACAGTGAGTACGCTGGTGGCGCTGCCACTCACACACAATCAGCCAAGACCCGTAAGTACAGGAAACGGGATCATCAGTCCAATTTTGTCCCCATTGCTTTCGCTGTCCATAGTTGTTGGGGAGAGAGACTGTTTTCTCAAGGATCTGAGTTATAACTTCAGTGAAACAAAAGACCCAAGAACTGCCAGCTACCTTTTCCTGTGACCATTAACTCTGCACCTTTTATGTAACCAATCTCCTAAAAAGTTTTTAAATAAAATGGAAAAATAAATGGGGAGATAGAAGATAATATACAGATGCACACATGGGAGCCTCACCAGGTTCCCCCAGATGCTATATATTCTCTTAGGTAAGGCGAAGGGTCCCCACTAATATAACAAGATGTGGAACCCAACACAATTATCATTATTATTATATATATATATATATATATATATATATATATATATATATATATATATATATATATATATATATATATATATAGTATATTTATAACTGTAGCAGTCTTTCTTATAAACATATATTGATTAAATATGACCGATTTTTTTTTTTTTAATTATTCTTAGGGGCACACGTAAATATGACCGATTTTTTTTTTGGAATTATTAAAACTATGACCGAAATAAAAGCAACGCAGGCGCGAAAGCGCCTGTTTTTTCGGTCATATTTAATATATATATATATATATATATATATATATATATATATATATATATATATATATATATATATATATATATATATATATATGATAATTATATATATTATATATATATAACTAGAAAAAGAGAGAGAGTCCGGAAGGCGGGAGACGGGACCCGGGAGGCGGTCTCAGTTAAGGCGCTCCTCTTGAAGAAACACTTCAGGTAATTGTAAAGGTAAAACTCTCCTGGAGACATGTCGGTCACCCAAGTGGCGCCTGTTCGAGTCTAACATGTCACTCAGCTGCCAACTGTCCTAGTCTCGAGTGCTATCTTGTTCCACCTGTCCTAGCCTCGTGTCCCACACACACGTCCCATGCCACAGCATCACTCCCCAAAAGGCATCACACAGCAGCAGTTATATGTTGATATAATTATATATTATACCACACACACGCTCCTATTCCCTGTACCATCCACGAATGGGTGGTACCCATCCATTCACCAAACACAATAAATTCATTTTTTTCAGCCACTGGCCACTCAAACGTTTAGATAAATATTAACTTGACTGTCAAGAAATATATTATGAGTGACGTATATAACAGCAGAGTATAGAGCAGAGAAGAGAGGCAGACCCCCAGCTGGAGCTTTAGAATCGTGCAACAGGTAACCGTGGAAATGGCTACACTACACACAGAAATCACAATAGCGTGATGTATCAAATGAACAAATCCACAAGGGCCGTGACGAGGATTAAGGCAGTGTTTGGAAGGCTCTCGGACGTATGTTCGAATCCTCGGCACGGCCCTTGTGGATTTGTTCAGTGGAAATGGCTTATTGACAAGCGTATTAAATCCTATTGAAATCAGTGCTATGCAACGTGAGCCGAGTGTTGGGAGTGAATGCGATCCATGTTAACCCAAAAGTCTGTCAATGGAAAGTGCTGAGGGTTGGCAAGTTTTCCATAAACTTCATGGAATAAATATATATATATATATATATATATATATATATATATATATATATATATATATATATATATATATATATATATTATATATATATTATATATATATATATATATATATATATATATATATATATATATATATATATATATGTCGTACCTTGTAGCCAGAACTCACTTCTCAGCCTACTATGCAAGGCCCGATTTGCCTAATAAGCCAAGTTTTCATGAATTAATGTTTTTTTCGTCTACCTAACCTACCTAACCTAACCTAACCTAGCTTTTTTTGGCTACCTAACCTAACCTTACCTATATATATAGGTTAGGTTAGGTTAGGTAGGGTTGGTTAGGTTCGGTCATATATCTACGTTAATTTTAACTCCAATAAAAAAATTGACCTCATACATAGTGAAAAGGGTAGCTTTATCATTTCATAAGAAAAAAATTATAGTAAATACATTAATTCAGGAAAACTTGGCTTATTAGGCAAATCGGGCCTTGAATAGTAGGCTGAGAAGTGAGTTCTGGCTACTAGGTACGACATATATATATATATATATATATATATATATATATATATATATATATATATATATATATATATATATATATATATATATATATTTTGAATCGTTTTTTCATCCAAGTACACATTTTACTGTTGCATTAAACAGAGGCTACAGTTAAGGAATTGCGCCCAGTAAATCCTCCCCGGCCAGGATACGAACCCATGACATAGCGCTCGCGGAACGCCAGGCGAGTGTCTTACCACTACACCACGGAGACTGTATATATATATATATATATATATATATATATGTGTGTGTGTGTGTGTGTGTGTGTGTGTGCGCGCAATTGACGATCACAAAACACTGATTATTTTTATGTGTGTGTGTGTGGGTGACAACAGAGTGTGTGTGTGTGTGTGTGTGTGTGTGTGTGTGTGTGTAAGACGCAATTGACGATCACAAAACA